ATTTTGATTTAATGCTTTATTTTTAAAATAAACATTGAATCTTGTTTTAAACCATTATATTTTGAAAATTACTATGTTAATGTATTATTCTCTACTAAAGATTTGTGTGCAGGATGTGTTGTTGAAATCAGTCTTAGACTCAGTGATATGCATTGAAGAGCAGCCTTCATATGTTTCTGTGACCGACTCTTCATGTCCTTTGTATGTATGAACAGTATCCCTCTGAATGTCCCACGAAATGACTGTTTACGTACCATTGCAAGCAGTGTATATGTTTGATAGGTAAAACAACTATAGACTTTTTAAAAAGGACAATTGAGGGGTTAGAAGTTGCAAAAACAGCTTAATGAACTTCCATATACTTTTCTAGATTTATGTTTTGCTTTGTTCTTGGACAAGGTGTCATGTTTGTGTCACTCTGTTCTCTCTATACACACATGAATACATTATTTGGCTGAGCCTTCTAAGGATAAATTATTGATATCAAGACCCTGTAACTTGACATAGTTCTTCCTTCGTCTGTTTCCTTAGATTAAAGATACTATCTTGCATTGCTTTGTAATATAATTATCAACTTAACATTTAACTTTGTAATAATAAAAATTTTAAAAATTACATTTATTTATTTATGTATTTGTGTGTGTGTGTGTGTGTGTGTGTGTGTGTGTGTGTGTGTGTGTATGTGTCTCCATTTATGTGCCAGAGTAGCTTGTGTGGGGTCAGAGGACAACTTGCTGAGTCTGTTCTCTCCTTCCACCATGTGGTTTTTGGGGTTGAACTCAGGTTGTCAGTCTTGACGGTGACACTGAGCCGTTTTATCTGCTCAGGTATAATAATTTTGTCTACTGTTCATCCAGTACCGAAATGTCACAATAATATCCTACAGCAACCTCCATTTTTAATGTCTTGATTCGGAGTCCAGTCCACAATTATCCCCTGCGTTTAGTTGACTTGTCTCATTGGCGAGGAACAGCAGGCGTCATCTTTCATACCGTTGCTCTGGTTGGAATCTTGTCATACCACAAGTCACGTGTTCTGCAGTCGTGTTCCCTCCGACAGACATTTAGTTTGTCTGGTCGTTTGCTGCTGATGGCTGGCGATGGTTCACCTTGGGCAGGTGCAGCGACCACGGTGGTCCTGCACTGCTTCCTGCTGCTCCCACTTGGAGTCACACTGCCTTCTGTGTGGCGCTAGTGACAGCCAGCTCTCCAGGACCATGGACCTTCTGAAGGATGATACATAGAACGTCCATTTGGATGCTGTATATTCATTCTCCTTGCTTCCGGGAGATACCTGTGTGCTAATGATTCCTTCTGTGCCTTCCGAGTGTGTCATGGCATGTCCTTTTTTTAGTAGCACTTGGAAAGCTGTAACTATTGGTGGTTTCTTTGTGGAAGACTAACACACTGATTTAATTTATTTATTGAATGATTTAGACTTTCAGTTTTGAAAAATAATTAGCTGCTCTGTAAGAATAGTTTGTCACAAAAAATTGGCAACATAGGTTGCTTATGATAATTTTGTTAATTTAATCTCAGTAGCATTGTAATATTGCTCACTTTCTTATGGAATTTTTAAAAATTCACTTTTTATACGTAGTATTTTAAGCCCTTTTAAAAATTTTTAAATGATTTTGTGAATGTCTGTGTGCATGTTTGTGGTATGTACAGGAGAGTGCTGGTCCCCTCAGGCCAGAGGCATTAGCTATCCCCTGGAGCTGGAGTAACAGGCAGTTGTTACACTTGCTGCCTAGCTTGGGTGCTGGGAACCAAGTCTGGGTCCTATTGAAGAGCAGTGTAGGTTCTTAGACACTGAGCAACCTCTACAGCTCCTGCCCTTTTTATTATGTGCTGCTTTTCTTTTCTTTTCTTTTGGTTTTTCAAGACGGGTTTCTCTGTGTAGCTTTGTGCCTTTCCTGGAACTCGCTTTGGAGACCAGGCTGGCCTCGAACTCACAGAGATCCACCTGGCTCTGCCTCCCAAGTGCTGGGATTAAAGGCGTGCGCCACCACCGCCCGGCTTATGTGCTTATTTTCAAATTAAGCAATTTAATTCATTTTGCTTTCTCTTTATGTTTTGAGTTCTATTGGTGTGGGGTAGGGGGCACAGACAGGGTCTTACTGTGTTGTACAGGCGGTTCTGTGCTCCCGAGCCTAGTTTCAGTGCTCCTTTTAAACTGGACTATTTCAGACTTGGCTAAAACTATATTTATTTTGTAAGCACTGGTTTAGTCTGTATCCTCCAAATTTTGACATAGAGTATTTTTTTGTTTTGTTTCTAACTATTTCTTCCCTTTAATTTCAGAGCTTATTAGCATTTCTGGTTGTTTTTTTATTGATTTATGGTTAATTGTGTGATATATATGATTATATATCATATATATATGATTTTTTCAAATTTTCAATATCTTGAATTTTATTGGCAGTGGTTTTATGGCTTGATATTATCAAAATCTATAGACTTGAATGTGTTTGAAGAGAATATTGTCCAGCCATTATGGTGCTATATCTGTATGTAAGTCAAATATATTGTCATTTTACAGGTCTGTTTGAGGTATCAGTTACACAGAGAGATTTGAAATGAAATGGCTTTCCAGGAAACTGAGATATTCTGTGTTTTGACTTTATGCATTTTGAGGTTATATTATTGGATGTTTATCATCTTACTATGATTAGTTGACTTTTGTTTTTGCTCTAATGTCTATATTGAAATTTGAAAATGACTTAATTTTTTTTCTGGAGGTGAGGAGGTTAATTCCAATTAGACTGTGCTTTCTTTGGTGGCATTTTGTGTAAATTCAATTTAGAATTGTATAGATTAGGGTCACAGAAATTTAGAAAGGATGAAATAAACATTATGTAATTTGAGGATGGTAGTAGTAAACCTGCAGACTTTCAACAATGGTGATGAGGAAAAGCAGTAACAATAGACCACTAAAACCCAGTACTAGCCGTTCAGTGAGGATTATCTATTCTCTCCATATGGTGGAGTTTGGAAAACAAAAGAATGTCATTAGTGCCGGGCAGTGGTGGCGCACACCTTTAATCCCAGCACTCAGGAGGCAGAGCCAGGCGGATCTCTGTGAGTTCGAGGCCAGCCTGGGCTACCA